GGGAACGGTTCATTGTGCACTGCGTCCCGTCCAGCTCATTGACATCACTGGTTGCCAGCAGCTGGGTGGTACAACTGTCAGTGAGCTGGGCTGGACGTCGCCAAGAGAGTCACAAGTTACTAAGAGCTCTTAGCAACCCGGGACACTATGGCTGGAAAGAGGGCGGCAGGTGTGCCCCATGTGACCCAATGAGATGCCACCTGAGGCAACCACCTCAGGCTGCTTCCCTCTAGGGACAACCCTGTATAGGAGCCACAATATGTGCTCATTACATATTTATAGGCAGTGTTTTCTGCTTGGTAATACTTCACAATATTGTGCTTCACTATTCCTCTCTCTCAGCAAAACTCTATGGGTCAGGTCTGAAAACCATAGATGAGGTATAAGGTTCCTCTTTGAAAGAGAAGCCGGAGTGGAATTGTATCAGTCCTAGTTTGTTTTTCTATTGTTTCTATCGTTTTTTTCTATTGTTTATATAGTTTTTTATCACTATCTATATACATCTTAGGCCTTGTTCACACTGAGCGCGGAGCAGGTGCAGAGCAGAGCAGTTGCAGACCGGATCAAAACTGCGTCCAATGTATTCCAATGGTACTTTTTGCTTCAGTTCACATCGTAGCGTGCAGTTCCAGAGCAGGTCCAGAGCAGGTAAAAAACTGCAGCAGGCTCTATTTTACCTGCTCTGGATCTGCTCTGGAACGCATGCAAATGCATCAAAAACGCATGCAAATACCTGGAATGCACTGAAAGCCCTTTTTAAACTTAAAAACATGTATATATATATTTTTTTTTACCAAAAACGGCCCGGAACGCATCAAAAACGCGGAAAAAACGCGGCACAACCCACTGCACTGCGTGTGCAGAAACCTGACCGCATCTGCTCTGCATTTGGTGTGAACAAGGCCTTATACATATATATATTTTTTACAAATAAGCATTCAATAAATGACAAAGGGTTCCCAGAGCATTATGGGCAATCCAAGGAGACAACTTAGCAGAACAGCTTGCTTTGCAGCTTCCTTTGTCTGATTGCATCCTTGGGCTCAGCCATCTGATAAGGGAGGAGTAACTGTTACAACGATTCTTTGAGGCTGATTGTATAAAGGAGTTGAACATATACAGGTGAAACTCGAATAATTGGAATATAATAAAGTTCATTTATTTCACTAATGCAACTTAAAAGGTGAAACTAATATATGATATAGACTCATTACATGCAAAGCAAGATAGTTCAAGCCGTGATTTGTCATAATTGTGATGATTATGGCTTACAGCTCATGAAAACCCCAAGAACCCCAAATCCACAATCTCAAAAAAGTAGATTATTACATGCAATCAATAAAACAAGGATTGTACATAGAACAATATCGGACCTCTGAAAAGTACAAGCATGCATATGTACTCAGTACTTGGTTTGGGCCCCTTTTGCAGCAATTACTGCAATTACTTTTGCACGATATTCTAATTATTCGAGTTTCACCTGTATATACAATAAATTGTGTGCATATTCACTTCAATTATCCAATCATATGCAAATGAAATGAGTAAACAGACATCTGCTTTTCACGTGATTGGATAATCAAAGTGAATATTTGCACAATTTATTGTGTGAACATTCCCAACTCCTACAGTAAATCAGCCTCATTGAGTTCTGTCAACAACGGGCCTCTGAATAATATTCAGTTATAAGTTATAAGTTAATGATGTGAAAGGCGACTAGAGCTTAAGCTGCCAGCTGGATAAAAGACTACATAATATTTATATGCAATATTTCCTATTAACCTGAATAAAAAATAAAAATATAAAAAAAGAAATATGTAATTGAAAATGTAATTTTATTGCTCCTGATATAATAGAATATGTACAAACCCCATTATAAATTCCCTGTTGGTTCTTTTGCAGGGTGCGGGAGAAAAAAGACCTTCCAATGACCTTGGTAAAAAACCCAAGAACCAGAAGAAGAAGAAGAAAAAGGACCCCAATGAGCCCCAGAAACCCGTCTCCGCCTACGCCCTCTTTTTTAGGGATACTCAAGCAGCCATCAAAGGACAGAACCCCAATGCCACCTTTGGCGATGTGTCCAAGATTGTTGCATCAATGTGGGACGGCCTGGGCGAAGAACAAAAACAGGTAAGTTCTTCTAGCTATAGGCCCATTTAGCCCCATATTGGAAGTATTATAATGAAGGGAAATTAGAAGACTAGCCCATATGCATGTACATCAACCATGGAAGTTCTATGAGGTCCCACAGCTCCCACAGCAAGCAGTAATGTGTCCAGGATTGTTGCATCAATCTGGGACAGCCTGGGGGAAAATAAACAGGTATGTTCTTCTAGCTATAGTCCCCTTTAGCCACATACTGGAAGTAGTATAATGGAGGGAAATTAGGGGACTAGACTATATGTGTGCAGGGCTGGATTTACTCTCTCCGCTTGGAGATAGGAATTCCACACCCCTGCTGCCCCTCTGCTCCTTGCTCCCCTAAGGCCGGGCCTTATTTGGCTTTGTGGGAAATCCGGCCCTGTATGTATGTGCACCAAACTTGAAAGTTCTATGAGGTCCCTCAGTAAGCAGTAATACTTGTTGGGTGGTAGAGGGACATTCATGTGAAGAGTAGAGCGTAGCACAATGATTTTCCCAAATTTAGAGTTGAATTTCTCCATTTTTGCTGCTTAGCTAAAATTTGGTTGAGAAAATACACCCATAAGAACCCCTCCACCTGTTTTTTGTTTCTTTATTTTTTGTGTGTATTTTATTGTCATTTTATTATTTTTTTCATGGGCAAAAATAGGGCACAATAATACAAAAAACAGTGAAAAAAAACAACCCTCAGGAGCCATATAAAACCTGTTGCACCCTTAAACACTACCTTAAAGTAAACTTTTTCTATGAACAATATGGGGCTGCCATTGCGGACCTTCTTTGGAAAAAGATAGTTGCTTGGCTGTTATTCTGGCCTGATACTTTCTGAGTCAATGATCTAGAACAAGTATGGAAGTCAGAAAAGTCAATGTGATATCAGAAATCATTATCTGAGTGCTATTTCTGGGCAAGCAACTTAGTGACATCAGTAGGTCAGCATGGCAGCCAAGGGACTAGCAATTCCAGAATGAGCAGTGAGAAATGGCAGCATCCATGTCTAAGATTGGGTTTCAATTTTCCATGGCACCCTATTGCACAAAAGCAATTCAAGTCCAACGCACATGCATTGCAGTCCACCACAATGCAAAGGAACACAATGTATTGTGAGCTGTGCCAGAAAAAATGCTATATGTATGTTTTTTGTTCTGTTCTGGTGAGTTATCAGCATATTCCAAATAATGGGTTGCCTTAACGCAACGGCATTAACGCTTGACACAACACTCATTAATGTGTGTATGTTAACACAACACACAAGGACAGAAGTGTGAACAGGCCCTTAATGTTTTCGTAATCTCCTCATTTGTCTGTTGAGCTATTCATATGGTGTTGACAGGCATCCCCCTATATGTGATTAAAGGAAACCTGCCCCTGAAAGGAATATAGAAGTTACCAATTCTGACCTACTGTATATATTCATTTTTCTGATGACCTTTTGTGTTTATTGCAGGCCTACAAGAGGAAGACTGAGGCAGCAAAGAAAGAATATTTAAAGGCCCTTGCAGCTTACAGGGCAAGCCTGGTCTCCAAGGTAAATGTTTAAAAGACTGTCAACCTTTATCCCACGGGACTTTCACTTAAAACACAGACATTATAGTGATATCATCATATGATACATGATCACAGATTATATCATGTAATGGAAAAGTACAACCAGGCCCGGTTGTACTACCGCAAGGCAAGTCAGGCGGCCGCCTGAGGGCGCTGCAGGGTGGGGGCGGAAAAAACAGGGCATTTTGACAAGTACTTGTACTTGTCAAAATGCCCCGATGTTTGCGCTATGTTTTTTTTGTTTTTTTTCACTTACCTTCGGTGCGGGAGAGCAGCGGCGAGTCAGCGCTGGTCCAGTGGGAGGAGCTCCAGGTGGGGTCCTAATTTAGCTGGCCGGCGACTGCCAGAGGATCCCGACACGCGCGGCACCTCAGGCAGTCACCGGCCAGCTAAATTAGGACCCCACCTGGAGCTCCTCCCACCGGACCAGCGCTGACTCGCCGCTGCTCTCTCGCGCCGAAGGTAAGTGGAAAAAAAAACATAGCGCAAACATCGGGGCATTTTGACAAGTACTTGTCAAAATGCCCTGTTTTTACAGGGGGTCGGTATCGGGGGGGTGGGGAGGGGGCAAAAATGCACCTTGCCTGCCTTGCCTAGAATCCTAGAAACCATTATCCCCTTTGCACAATTAGACTCACATGGGCTACCATGTTTTTTATCTAGCCAAGCATTAAAATGCAATTGGTACTAGTTCTGAATGGACATCAAATGTTATTGGTATTTCCACAGGGGGACAAATGCCATTGATACTGCTGCAGGGTGACAAATGCTATTGGTACCTCCGCAGGGTGACAAATGCCATTGGTACTGCTGCAGGATGACAAATGTCATTGGTACATTCACAGGGTGACAAATGCAATTGGTACCCCTGCAGGGTAACAAATACCATTGGTACTGCTGCAGGATGACAAATGTAATTGGTACATTCACAGGGTGACAAATGCCATTGGTACCCCTGCAGGGTGACAAATACAATTGGTACTGCTGCAGGGTGACAAATGCCATTGGTACTGCTTCAGGGTGACAAATGCCATTGGTACCCCTGCAGGGTGACAAATGCCATTGGTACCCCTGCATGGTGACAAATGCCATTGGTATTGCTGCAGGGTAACAAATGCCATTGGTACTGCTGCAGGGTAACACATGCCATTGGTACTGCTGCAGGGTGACAAATGCCATTGGTACATCCACAGGGTTACTGTCAGTACATTGCAGGGACAACACTGTCACAGTATAGATGAACATTTGTAGAAAAACAAAATATATAAAAGTCAACATAAGAATGCACTCTGAAATAAGTTCACTAGTTATATAAGTATAATGTGAAATCGAAATCTGATTTTATTTATTTATCTTTATTTAGAGCTACACTGACCAAGGAGAAGCCAAGAATTCCCAACCCAATCAGCCCTCCAAAATGATTCTCCCAAAACAATCCATGTATAACATGCCCCCACAGTCATCTTCCCCCTACCCCGGCCTTGCCTCTTTTCTGTCCCCTGCCGAATTGCAAAGTTACCGTGGCCACCCTCACCCAAGCCTTTCCCGAACCCTCAATGCCAAATCAATGTTGCCCAGCCTTAGTGCCTCTCCTCCGCCCCCTTTCCAGATTAGTCCTCCCCTCCACCAGCACATGCGCCACCCTCCCAGCTCTCTCCTCAATCAATCTATGAATATGCAGCAAGGACAACAACCTTCCATCCTCCCCTCCTCCATGGGACTACAGTCACCGATGAGATCATCTCCCACAGGTCAACAGGTGAGACTAAAGGTGTTTATGGTTTTTCTGTTTGGCTAGCAATCAACCACACTCCACCTGTCATTGTCTAGTTGCTTTGGGCAACATGATCGCTTTTTCATTTCCTGTGTCTCATAAAATATGCCCATCACAATGTATCTTTCGGAATCGATGAATCTTCTGTAATTGATCACCATTCTTTTCATTCACAAAATAGCATGGTTGAGTGTGCTGTCATATGATATACCCATTTAAACATCTGCCTCTTCCACTATAATGGAGTCAGGCCAATCTGATAGTTCTGTTTCTCATTTTGCATTGTCCCATTGTATTATTTCAGTATGTAGAACATACCGGTTAGTTATCAATGTCTCTTATAACAGTCCATAATTTTCTCTTTTCCACAATTGTTTCCAGGACTTCTCACATCTCCCATCAGAATTTTCAAGCAATGTTGGCCCACGATCCCCAGCCTCCTCCAATCCCCCAGGAAACACAGAGTGGGACAATGAATATCCCAGTAGAGAGTGTGGGATCAATCACTGCAAGTGAGTATTCCAAATTCACTATTTGTCTATAACACATTTGATTTTCTTTGAAGACTGTTGTTGTCTCATTCAGTAATGTACAACTTACAGTACTTCTACACAAGTGCAAATGTTTACATTTAAATAACAGTGAATCACTGCAGATCCCTGTGCAGCAATGGGCGCTGTGTCCTACTGGTTGCCAAAGAATGACAGGAATCATCAAAATAAATACATATATTTATTTTTGATACTTCCTCGATATGTTTGTTACTGCTCTAAAGTGCCTCCTATGATTCCTGGTGCTCGGCTCTGCCCCGTCCTCAGGTCCTACTGCCTTGAAACTATGGCCATTCTTACCACTGTGTACATGAGGTATAAAAGTGTTGTCTTAGTCTGAGCACTGCGATGCTAACCCATGTCATCTATAAACAGCAGGGAAGAGATGAGAGAACAAGACAGTAACCTTGATCATAATATAAGAATATGCAATACATTCTGTTTACAGATCACATGATCCCAACACCCCTTATGCCCTTTTTCCTGTATATATTGACCTAGCTAATATGATGGCCTATTTTTTCACTACTTGCTAATTATAGATAGGCAAAACATCCCTTTGCTCAGAGCAGGGATGGCCAAACTGCGGCCCTCCAGCTGTGGTGGAGCTATGAATCCCAAGAGGCTTTGCAAAAATTCACAGCCACAGACATGACTCCCTGAGAGAGATGATTTATGGGATTTGTTGTTTCACCACAGCTGGAGGGCCGGAGTTTGGCCATCCCTTTGCTCAGAGTGTTTGGATTGATGAAAAGTGAAATTAAATCTAGTGCAAAGTAAATGCTAAATGAAACACCTCCGCTTTTGTTTTAGTATTCTTAACTCAGGCCCATCATGACAGCTGCAGGAAAGAGCCACAGCATGGGTTGGCAGTTATACATTGTGGAATGGGAGGGCAGTGGTAATACACTGCTGAGACCACTGGGCAAAGGGGTTAGTTTTCAGGTTCAATGCTTGAATTAGGACTATTGTTTTTTCCCTGGTGAGCCTTGCTTTTACCCCATTTCACCTCCACTTTTAAAGCAAAAATTTAATAGAAGAGATTAGGGATGCACCGATACCGGTTTTTCGGTATTGAGTACGAGTGCTCATATTTATCTTTCGGTACTCGCCGATACCTAGTACCAATAACGCATGGGTCATGAGGTGACGAGGAGGCATGAAGCCGTCATTGCACGGCGCCTGGCTTCCTGATTGGCCAGCTTCTGGCCAATCAGGATGCCGGGCAGCACGTCATTAGGCGCTGCCCGGCTTCCTGTTTGGCCGGGAAGCCGGCTTCCTTGCCAATCAGGAAGCTGTGCAGCGTGTAATGATGCGCTGCCCAGCTTCCTGATACCGTAAATATCGGGTTAGGCATCGGAGCATTTGAGTACTCGCCCAAATACTCGGCATCGGCACCGATACTAGTATCGGTATCGCTGCATCCCTAGTTATCACCTTGAGCACCTATGGTATGTTTAAAGCCTGACTGAAGTTGCATAAATAAATATTCAGTTACATAGATATTATTCAAACAACCTCTATTTATTAGGGATGCACCAATACTGTTTTTTCGGTATCTAGTACAAGTACCTATATTTTTTCTTTGGTACTCACCGATGCCAAATATCGATAGGAAGTCCCATTAAGGAAGCCAGGCCACATGTAATGATTCGCCGCCCGGCTTCCTGATTGGCCGGGAAGCCTGTTCCACCCCCCCCCCCCCCTTTCACCAGGTGATGAGGAAGCATGGAGCCGGCTTTCTGACTAATCAGGAAGCCGGGGGGAGGTGGGTAATGACTCGCTGCCTGGCTTCTTGATTGGCCAGCTTCCCGACCAATCAGGAATACTAGTATCGGTGCATCCCTACTATTTATATAATCTTGCCTCTGCTTTCCTGTGGCAGTAACCGGACAGGGTGTCCAAATATGATTGCTCAGTCCACGCTGCAACAGACTTTCTACTAGTTCACTTAGTAACCAGCACTCAGCTCTGCCAGCATAAAGCACTGGTATTAGGACGGAGAACAGAAATTACAAGGAGGAAAAAATTTGTTTTAAATGCATTTCCAAGCAAAACTCACCCAGAAATTACAACAGGGGTTCACAACTCTAAATGGAGTGAGATTTTAACTCTCCAGCACCTATAAAAACCTTAAATACCTATTGAGGTGAACTAAACCTTTTAATTATTTCAATGTTTTTGGAGGTTTTCTACATTTCTAAGATTCTTTTTCCTTTATTGCAGTCCTCTGCCTGGGGACAAGCCGCTCTACCTCACCTAGAACCACAGACGTACTTGCAAATGAAGGCTGAAGGAATGGACATTTCAGAGAGTCTAAAAGCACTGGACATATAGAACAAGAATGGCATGGTCACCAAGACAAGCAGACTTAAGTGGTTGTTTCTTCTTAAGCCTCTGAAAAGCGGCTTTGTTTGCAGACGTGTACTTGGTGAAGCGAGCAGCCAAAACCCCCGTAACTTGTAGAGATCAAAATGGACACCTCTTACCGCCTCCTTATTTGTTACGGAAAGCATGAAGATGAATAGCCTGTGAGAGGGGACTTCCCTTTCAGAGCTCATCTGGGCATATGTAAAGAGGTTTGTGAATATTGTATATTTGATATTTCCCCGCCTCCCCCACCAAAACAAATACTGGTTTGTATAAGGGGGAGGGCAGTGACAAATACCTAAATAAATTGTGCAAATATACAAAAAAAAATCTGAAAATAAAATGTGATAAAAAAAATAATGAAAAATGTAATTTGTTGAATAGTTGTAAGTAGATTTATCATGTGGTTTAGGACTGTGCTAAAGACATCTTAACAATTTTTTTTTGTGTATAGAAATTAAAGGCGTAGCTTACTTTATAGTAAAAGCATTTTATATTAATTGTAGCACATTTTTTTAGTTATACATAGGATGTGTAAAATACTGCCAAATGTTTTTGGTTTTTTTCCTTACGTTTTATTTTTACAGTAAGAAAATCATTTCTATCTGTGCTGAGTCATGAAGTTATTCTATTTTTTTCCGGTCATAATTTCACCTTATTCTAAATGTTGACAATTTTATTTATGGGAAGAAAAAGAAAATACAAAACGGATTTCTGATTTAAAAATAAAACTGCTTTTTTTATGTTTGGATCTGCGCTGCCTTGTCCTGGGCAGACAAAAATATTAATTTTGTTTCACGATTGCTTATTTGATTTTTCTTTTTAATAAAACATTTGAAAAAGTGGCGCCATATTGGAGTCTTTGTTTGTTATTTTTTTATTATAATATTTACATTACAAACAAAAAAATAAATCATTGCAACAAGTTAAAGGAAATAAAAGTGCCTGTTTATGTTCTCAGCTCATATCTTACAGTTCAAGATGTTATTTACTACATTTCAATTTACTTGTTAGTTTGCGAGTTCTACCTTTAACTGGCTTACACTATTATTGTGACTGTATGCCTCTATCCTAAATATAGAATGTATAAAAAAATAAATAAATGAAAGAAATAAGGAATGATACATGGGCAATAATTAAATTAGAGCTGCGGGTAAAATGTTTATTAACCCTTGCATGGGGGCAACTCTAAACCTTTGCCCCGGGTGATACACTGTCTAGCTTCCCCACTTTTCCCCCGTTCCTTGGATCCAGCTGGCTGTGAAATAGCTCCCTCTTGCCTGTCTCCTCCTAAGCTCCAATGATGTCCCTCAGCGTTCTCACGTCCAATACACAGTGTATATGATTTCTGAGACCACTGCAGCGAATGGAGAGAGAGGCTCCAGGAACCGGTCTAAGAGCAAACCGGGTCCGAGGAAAGGGTGGGTTTAACTTTATTTTCCTCCCTAGACAAAAACAAGCACTTAACCCTCGCAGTGTCACGGGTAGCCCCACTGCAAGGGTTAATAAACATTTACCCAGAGTTCTGCTTTACAGTACATGCCCAGGAATTTCCCAAATTTACTCCCAAACCTTCCACTCAAGATCATGTCCCAGCATCTCTGTTGAGCAACAGCTTTGTTTCCTTCTTGTGACATCACAAGGCTTGTAATAATCTTGCAGGGCGGCTGCCGGAAGCGTAATTTATATTGATTTAGTCATGTCCCCAGAACTGCATCTCCCATGAGCTCCTTTCCTACACACTGTGAGTCAAGAGTCAAGGCAGCAACACTGGTTTGCTGGGTGGGAAATCAACGTGCTCACGTGGAGTGGGGCAGACAGGGCTAGTGAGGCTGGTTGAGGTGTCAGTGTAGAAAAGACACTAGAACTTAGGTGCACACTGTTTTTTGTGAAAAACAATATTGTGCCGATAATCATACATATCTTACATATCTAATAAATACATATCTAATAAAAAGCTCATATATGTGACTCAGTTATATATGTTTCAATTTATTAGATATGTATGATTATTAGCTCGGCACAATATTGTTTTTCACATTTTCCAGATATTTAGTTATATCCTTAGTGCTTGGTAGCTCTTATTTACACATTACACTTACTGGCGCTGATCACCTTTATTGTTTATTTTTAGCACACTGTTTTTTGTTGTTTTTTTTTTGGTAGGATCAACTTTTTCTGTACTTGCAGCATTTTTAGGGCTAAAACATGGGAAATGTGTTTGTATTACAGAGATGTACTGAATATATTTGTTTTTTATTTTGCCCAGACACCACAAACCAAAACATACAATCTCAGCCTGATTTAACCACCCAGAAATTAGAAATTGTTGATATTGTATTAGAATGGCAAACACAATTTCGATTTAGATAAAGCAACTCTTTTGTCAGTTGTGTAAAAGTAAACCTGTGCTCCATTTTGAGCCAAAATACTGCCTAATAGATGTGCCCTTCTGTGATTTCGTTTTACATTTTAAAGGGGATTTTTCTTGACTTCATGGCTAAGCCCTGCCAACTGTCATTCCACTGATTAGTGAAAGTGTCCTTACTGACCACTGAGCAGGTCCACAAGACTGGTGGATGGCAAATGGTGGACCATAGTTGTGGAGTAAGGGAAAGTCAGGCCCTAGCAATAAAATGAGAGAGCGGGGCCAATAAAAGTAGAAGCGGCCATCTTGTGGTATCTAATCTTAGGCAAGACTTTTACCTAAAACATTTAAAATGGAGTACATGTTCAGTATAAGAAGACATTGGCTAGAAAGTATTCCTTTACCCTTCTCAATAGATGCAGAAATTATGTCCACCCAATATGCTAAAAGTTCTTGAAGGGAATCAATATTTACTACAGAGGGCTTTTGTGACTCCTACCAACTCCGCAAACACAGGAGCTCATGTGCCCTGGTCCCTAGACCGTGACACTGATTCCTATAAGAAATGCAAAAAACACAAATTTTTGGGCATCATTGAAACGAGCACAATATTTAATAATACTGAACATCCTGAATAAAGAACCAGAGAGTGAGAGAGAAAATCAAAGGTATGATGAGGATTAAATTTCTTCATATTATTGTTAGGAAACTTTCTATATATACTATATATGTCTACCCAATAGGGATGCACCAATACCAAGTACCGTACTCGGTACAAGTACAAGTACAGATACTTTTCCAGCTCCAAGACTAGACTAGAGAACAATTCAAAAGTTAGGAGGCAGCTGTCATTTGTAAGGAGCACACGGAGCTCCTGGAATTGTTACATCTCTGTTTTATTGTATGATTGTGTTTTTATAAATATATATTAGGGATGCACCGATACCATTTTTGCAAGTACAAGTACTAATACTTCCCTAAGTACTCACAGATACAAGTACTGATACATTTTTGTTTATTGTCATGTGACAGTTTTTCTAAAACAGTATCGACTAATGATTTCAGGACAGTGGTGGAGCGCCAGAGCTAGGTCCCATCTGCAACTGCTGCAACCCTGGTAGTTCTCATGAAAATGCCAAGTATCGGCACTGGTATCTGCATCCCTACTACCCAATATGCTAAAAGTTCTTGAAGGGAATTAATATTTACTACAGAAGGCTGATTGTTAGAAGAAATGCAGAAAAAAAAACAAAGTTTTGCGTATCATTGAAATGTGTACTATATATAATAATACTGAACATCCTGAATAAAGAACCAGAGAGTGAGAGAGAAAATCAATGGTATAATGAGGATTACATTTCTTCATATTACTGTTAGGAAACTTGCTTTTAAAGCCTTGCTTCCCCTTAAGGCAAATAAAAGCCAACATAAGCATCATCTATTATCTTAACATGTTGAACTGTAAAAATACCAAGAGTTCAGGTGGCGGATAATTTGTTCATGTATTAAACATGTCCATTTACATGGGGTGAGAATGTAGATGTGTGTCTACAGAGTTGAGATTGGGAGAGCTTTAAAGACTTCCTCCAAGGCTGGCCTATATCTTGGGGAAAACAACAGCAATTGGTCGGGGAAAATCCAACCCAGCTGATCAAATTTTCCTCCTCCCTGGAGCTTCAGCTGCAGAATGTTGGGCATGTAATGGGGATTGCATTGCAATACTTTCCCCTTTTACACTGTAACAAGACAAATCAAGTGGAAACTGAGTTGTGTCTCATCACTAAAGCCGATCGGCACACCGGTTTAAGCACCCCAAGTAACACCCCTTTAGTAGCATTAACTCTTTTATATAGGACATTTCCTTGTTTTCCTCAAACTAACCCTGACTTAGAATCTTGGGATAATGTGTAAATGATATTGGGACTATTCTCACTGATTACTATTTCTACTGTTGATGGAAACAATGTGTGTGGACAATAATTATAAAGGGAAAAAGCCCCTCTTTGCCTACTGGGTGTATAAGCATGTGCCTACTGTGCGTTATGATAAATTAGCCCTGGGCTGAAATGATCCTTCGTCTGATCCTCAGATCTTTAAATCGAGAACAAAAGAATTAATGTTCTTCCCTTCTGACTGATTACTCAAATGCCCTGGGCCATATTTTTCCATTTCATCTTGACGGCAATATAGTTACAGTTAGTCAGGTTGAAAAAAGACACATGTCCATCGAGTTTATATATATATATATA